TAATATTTCGAATACAATTTTATCCGAATAAAAATTTTATTCGATTAATATTTCGAATACAATTTTATCCGAATAAAAATTTTATTCGATTAATATTTCGAATACAATTTTATCCGAATAAAAATTTTATTCGATTAATATTTCGAATACAATTTTATCCGAATAAAAATTTTATTCGATTAATATTTCGAATACAATTTTATCCGAATAATATTTCGAATACAATTTTATCCGAATAAATATTTTATTCGATTAATATTTCGAATACAATTTTATCCGAATAAAAATTTTATTCGATTAATATTTCGAATACAATTTTATCCGAATAACATGTCGAATAAATTCTTCGAATAAAATTTCGTACAAATTCTTCGAATAAAATGCCCAATCTTAACCAATACATATTTCAGAAGAAAGGATCGCCTGCTTAATCATTCAGAATCCGATCGGAAGTACCATCTGTGCGTCAGACATTCGCGCACGTTGAAATGACGTACATCAAAATGATGAATCCTTCTGTAGTAAATTTGATCGTCGCTCATTTCAATGGCTTTTATCAAGGATTACATCACGTACCCTCTCAATTTTGGCACTCTCGTTTCGTCAAACATTATACTCAACATGTTAATAAAGTATTCTATATGCAAACAAGCAACGCCAGGACATCGTACGAGAAACTATCAGCATCACCTTTTCCCAGACCGAATGAAGCTCGTCGAAACTCGACTTTCGCGCATTCGTTCTACGAGCTCGAAAAGTCGCCTAAGTGTCTCGCAGGAGGAACAATCGCGCAATTTTCGGCTCTGTAGAAATCTTCGCGAAGGATTGTTCTCACGATTTCGACCTTGAGGTAGCTAATACGTTGCATGACCCTTCTCACACGTATCATCGCATGCCAGCATGATTTTTCCCGAGGAGATCGCGTCCTCGCGAAAATGTCCGGCGGAGTTTTTTGTTGAAGCATGAAGCTCCGTAGAAAGCAAAAACAGTATTTCGATGGGAACCCCGGTCTAATTTTCTGGGCACTCATTGTTGCAGGCACACACGCCCCTTCTTGCGGCTGACACGAGACATGTAAGTAGAAAACACAGAACAGCGTGCTGCATTTGCTTGCGATCGAAGCTAATCACTAAAAACCAGCTGCTTATGTTAGGCATAGGAAACGTCGGATTTTCAAATGAATGGTAAAAAAAAGACTGGAGACGGGACACTCGCGAAACCTCGAAAGTACAGCTTACAAAAACATTGTAACGATATGAACATTTTTTGTTTAACTTATACTAATCTAATTAAGTTTGTAATTAGACTTTAGACACATTTTAATTGCTACGATTTCACGAATCCATTACAATCATTTGTATCGAGAAAATAATTGAAATTATATCTACATCGAATTTTCTTTTAATTATATTTTATAAATAATTTGAGTTTACGAAAAGAGTTTCTCAAATATCTTTTTAGACTTTTTGAGACTCCTTAGAAAAAAAAGGATAAGCATTCGAGTTTCACGAATCTAAAACTCGGGTTTCGACGCCTATATCTCTTTCTGAAAGATGTTTATTTAATCAAAATATGATCCATTTGCTCCGATTCTCTTTTCCCAACGAATTTTCAATGTATCAGATCATGAAATATGAAAAGCACAGATTTTATAATCGAATTATAAAGTATGCATTTCGTGCTGAATGACCAAACATAAATGCCACTGTCGAAGAAATTCTGGTATTTCGAATAAATAAACTCGTCTATGGAGATTTTAATATTATCTTCGTTTACGCGAAAAATGTTGAAAAGTGTTCTAGGTTTTTCCGAAAAAATGAGAATGGATGCTGCGAAATTTCATATCTCAGTTCACGTAATTTCGAAACCGTGTTCCGCGACGTGTGCAACGTAGCAACACGAATATATCCACCGTATTCGTACAAAACTCAAAATAAATGACAAGAATACCGAATTTCAAAAAAAAAATTCTTCTTGCCACGATATAACGCCGGCATCCGCGCAATAAATTTGTAAAAAAAAAAGGAAAAAGGAGATAGTGTCACGAACAACGACATAACGTAAGCAGGGAGACAAACAATTCGCTCGTAATAAAAATCCGACGTTTCATATGCGGTGCAACCTGATACCCTGCGTTTCAGCGTGATTATGCTTCGCGCTTTCGCGAACACGCGCGTATTACAGTCTCCGAATTGTCGTTAAATGTTCAGTGGATCCGACACGTTCGCCCCGTAACGTTGTCGGATCGGTTCGAACAAATTCGCGATTAAATATCGCTGGCGGTCTCCCCCGGGAAATCTAGAGTCGTTTATTCCATTAGTCTCACAATTAGCCACGCTCGAACTGTATACACGATCCACTCGAATTTTCGGGAATTGATCTGTTTTTTTTTCCCCGAGGCACTCGAATTGCAAATGGCTGGATACTGTAAGCCGAGTGCCGGGCTGCGTTGGCCGCCATTAATTAGTCGTTAATAGTCAACCGGCTGTACGGTCTTGCAATAGTCAGTGAGATTCGGTCAATGGTGATTGTCCGGTCACTCTGGGTCAAACGGAGCCCACGCTAGCAGTCGCTATTAGGTCATTATCGGCTAAACAGTGATCAATAGGGCCCACTAATCTAATAATTACCTGTCAATACGACGGACAATTATCGGACGAAGAAACTGAGCGATGGTGGTCGGCGAAATATTAACGAGAGAGAGAGAGAGAGAGAGAGAGAGAGAGCCGGTAATCTTCGAGGGCGCAGAATTCGGTTTCACCGGTTAGTAATGATCTTTCAGGACTTTCATTGATCTAGAAGCTCGGTGATCTCTCCGCTGCACTACTGCCACTTCGAGTTCACTCGAGCGTAATTACGGCTCCCTCGCAGTGGAAGGGCTCCTCTTGTGAATTACGCGTTCACGTGCAAGCAGACGTAGTGGATAATTATTTGTACTTGAGACGTTAACGTTAATGATCGCACTGTAGAACGTTTCCAGGGCAAGACAAACAATGACGTTTTCCTGTAATCAGCTTTTACTCTCCGAGCCGATCCTATTGTTACGGCTAATGAAATTAGATTCTCCACTCGCATGCTCCTCCTACGACGATATTTCGTCTGTTGCGTGCTTCGAAAAATTTGACAGATTTTCGTGTTCTGCGACCGTTCATTGACTTTGAAAACGATGGTTTTTGTATTCGTAGTTACTAACACAAAAAGCCTGGTGAGAATTAAATA